ATGTGTACTGGTCAGGGTAGGCTAGGTTAGGTTATGCTGCAGTAACAAACTTCCCCCATACCACAAAGGCTTAACAACCCATATCCATTTCTCACTCATACCCTACGTCCTACTTAGGCTGGCAGGGGAGGCTCTGTTCATTGTGGTACTCAGGGATCCAGGCTGATGGAGGCACCATCTTGACTCATCTTCCATCATCTCTGCCATAGGGAAAAGGGATATGATGACTTACACAGTGGCTCTTAGAGACCTCTCCCCAGACATCACACATGTCATTTCTGCTCACATCTTAGAGACCAAAGCAAGTCCATAGCCACATATAACATCAAGGGAGGAGGAGAACAGCCCTAAAGGGCTACAGTTCGGCTGCCGTGGGATTGGTGGATGCCCCCAGGAGGCAGGGCCATGAAGCAGTATCCAGGAATTCCTCTTCACTCCTCCAATAGGGAACGACAGCTCCCCTTGGCCCAGAATCAAGTCCCTGAACCCTCTGGAGGAGTCAGGCTAAGGTCAGCAGAGTGGAAGTACAGAAGGCTTGGGGGCAGGTGCTTCAGAAAAGGCACCAAGGACTTGTTCAGGCACAGAAAATGCCTATTCATGGCTTTGTCCGTGACAATCTGCTTTCTGAATTTTCATGGCCTTTGGGGAGAGTCTTCTTAGGCCCATAAACTCAGAACATCAGAGCTGGGTGGGCCCCTGACAGCCTGGCTTCTCCAGTGTGGTCCCAGGATCAGCAGCATCAGCACCACCTTCACCTGGGAGCTTGTGAGAAATGTGGGATCCCTGGCCCCAGCCAAAACTACTGAATTAGAATCTGCATTTTCACAAGAATCCCCAGGAGATTGCCATGCACAATAAAGTTTGAGAAGCACTTCCCTAGAACTAATTTAGGCCAACATCTTTATCTCACAAACGAGGAGTTGACATCCAGAGGGGAGGAGGCTGGCCCAAAGTCACACGGCTGGTTCCAGTACTTGCCAGGGACTTTAAAACATTCACTGAATCTTGGTTTCCTCTTCTGTGATAAAGGGATAATATAACCACCTCACAGTGCTGACGTGGAAATCAAACAAGACAATATGTAGGCCAGTGCCAGGTATACAGTATGTGCTCAATAAATACTCAGGCTCTAACTCACTGCTCTAGCATCACTCAGCACATGGCAATTTCTTCTAAGAAGGAGAGTGTCAGGGGCAGCAGAGAAGGGAATGGGGTCTGGACCCAGCTGCCTATGTTTATATTCTGCTTGTGCCATTTGACCTTGAGCAAGCTCCTGAATTGTTCTTTGGTTCTTGGTTTCAGTTTGATCATTTGTAAATGGGTAGCATGATAGCACCAAGGATTTGAACAGGTCTGTTCTGGTTCGAACCCCTGTTGAGAATTTGCATTTCCACCCCAGATATACTGAATCAGAATCTACCACTTAACAAGATCCCCAGGTGATTTCTTAGGTATAATAGATTTTGAGAACCACTGCTTTACTAGTGGTTCTCAGAACTGGTCCCTAACCAGCAGTATTAGCATCGCCTGGGAACTTGTCAGAAATGCAAATTAGCAGGCGTTCAAACCGGAATGAACTAGTTCAAAGCCCTGGATAGCATCTACCTCATAGGTTACTGTGAGGATTAAATGAATTAATACACTTCCGGTCTTTGAATAGGCTATGGCATGTAGTAAGTACACAAGATGGATGAATGATGCCCTAAAAATGTCCAAAAGAGGGAGGCTGGCACCCAGGCAACTGAGCCCCAGGCAAGGAGAGGCTCTTTCTCAGAGGGAGTTGCTTCTGCTCTGCCCACTGACTTAACACAAGCCCCCAATCTGCTTCTCTGGTCCCTGGACAGTCCACCCAGGACCCCCAACCCCTGGCTGTGCTTTTCTTCCTCCACTGATGGAATGGCTTCACTGTTCTCCCCTGCACCCCAATCAGGAGCCCCTGAAAGGCCAGGGGATGTCTGTCCAGGAGAGGAGCAGGCTCAGAGGGCCAGGCAGCTGTCTTCACATCTCTGAAGGGCTGTCATGCAGGAGAGGGATTAGACTTGTTCTGGATGACTCTAGGGGACGGAAACAGGAAGTTCCAGGAAGTCCTCTCTAATCATTAGAAATGTTCAGAGGCAGCAGTAGCTGCCGGGTGGGGCGGTGAGCTGGCAGCCAGCTGCAGGGTGGAGGTCAGCGCTGGCTAGGAGGAGGCTGGATGAGTCCCCAGGTCCTCAAGTCTGACTGAGCATCAGAATCACCTGAGGACCTTTTTAGAACAGAGATTCCCAGCCCCCACCCAGGCCTACTGAATCAGAATTTCAAAGGGTGGGGCTGGGAATCTGTTTTAAAAGTCTCCCTTGCTGATTCTCATAACCATGGGGTGGGAACCTTGAGTAGTTGATCTCTGAGGGCTCCATGCCCTGTTCCGCTGGCCACCACCCCCTCACCTGATCTAGTTCTGGGGACCAAGGCCTCCTGAGTTTCTGCCTCCTCCCAAGGAATTTTTGTCCTTGATGCAGGGATGATTCTCTCATCTAACTGCAGCTCTAATGCCCCTCTCTCCCTCACTCCTGCCCTTACCCCCTAGTCTGGCTCCTTCTGCTCCCCCTTCTCCCTCCCCGGCCTCTAAGGTGAAACAGACAGGTTGTTAGGGCTTCTGGAGGAGGTGCGCCATGAGAGGGCTGGGCTCCCCTCCCTTTGGGAGGAGCAGCTCTTTCCTATCACACCCTACGAGCCTCAGCCACATCTGTTCCTGCGACTGGCAACGCCCCTACCAAAGGCACTCACCTGAGGGCCCCTTGGATGCCTCATTCAGAGAGCACAGAAACAGACAAGAAACACCTGAACGGGCATAAAGATCCTTGTTTGCTCTCTTCCTTTCGGGCAATGACACAGTTTGGTTACCAACAGGCCTCTATTAGCGTGCAACTATTCCAAGGGGAGGCCATTATCCGCAGTTAGATGCGCGTACGCTCGCGCAGGAATAGTGGGGCGTAAGGTCCCGTCGTGAGAGGAAGAGGGTGTGGGGTGCACGGAAAGGGAGCGCCTGCCGTTTGCCCCGACCGCACAGCACCACCTGGTGTCTCCCCGCACGGTGCACCCCCCAAGCCGGCGAATACTGTGCCCCGCCCCTCCTCGCTCGGCCCCCGGCCCCGCCCCGCCCCGCCCCGCCCTCCACCGACCAGAGAGGGTGCTTCCCTGCCCGAGCCGCATCTGGGTTACCGGCTACACCCTTCTGCCTTTGCGACCGTTTCGTTCACTGGAGGTGTGTCCCGGCCCCCTTCACCATGGGGCTGCTCTGGAAGACCAGTGGTCTGCGAGAAGGACAGCTAGTGTAGAAGAGGCTAAGTGGATGCCATTTTGCTGGAGAGCCCAGAGTCACGCCCTAGCAGCCAGCAGAGGGCAGCCTGTCTCCAACTTTGGGCCCCAAATGCTGCCATCCTGGCCACGCCTACGGCCCCTTCCCGTGGGCCCCTCCCAGAGCAGCGCGGTATCTTCCTGTGTTTGTAGAACTGAGGAACCAGCTGTCACCGTCTAGAGTCCCAGCTACCCACCCTCCCTGCTGCACAAAACCTGTGGACTAGGCCTTGCGCTGGAGCTGGTTCTTGTTGTTAGGTGCAGTCGAATCAATTCCAACTCAAAGCGACCCCATGTGACAGAGTAGAACTACCCCATAGGGTTTTCTGGCCTGTAATCTTTAAGGGAAGCAGATCACCAGGTCTTTCTCCTGCAGAGCTGTTGGGTGGATTCAAACCGTCAGCCTTTTCAGTTGGCAGCTGAGCACTTAACGGTTGCACCACCAGGGCTCCTACAGAGGTTACAAGATGAAGGAGACTTTGGCCCCACCTGGGGAACTCACAGCCCTGCTCTCTGAACTTCCACAGCCCTTTCACCTGTCACCTTGCACTTACCTATTGCTTTACACTGTTGATCTTATGTATGTTTATGTCCCATTCCCAGCGCCAAGGGATGAGTCAGTTCATAGCCACTCTTTGGCCTGGACATTATGCACACAGGCCTTGTTGGAACCCTGGTGGTGCAGTGGTTAAGAGCTTGGCCGCTAACCAAAAGGTCAGCAGTTCGAATCCACTAGCCGCTCCTTGGAAACCCTATGGGGCAGGTCTACCCTGTCCTATAGGGTCACTGAGTCAGAATCACTTAATGGCCACAGGTGTTTAAAGCCTTGTTATTAAAACATCTGCTTATTGTTGTTTTGCAAATTCAGTGTGGGCACATTTTCAAGTAAGGCTGAAGCAGAGGAGCCCAGCCCCCAAAGCCTCCAATGGGCATCCCCTAAGATGATGAGCCCCTTTCCAAAAAGTCTGTCCTTCCGTGGACTTGGCTGAGTGGGCCCTAATCGTGCAGCTGCTGAGACAGGCCCCTCCACCCCACCCCCACCCCCGAGCAGAAGTGAGCTTTCTGGATTTGACATGAAAGTTCCACTGGCTGAGTTTCCATCCCACTCTGGGGCTTTCCAAGCTGGGAGAAGTTCTGAGCACAGCTTGGGGCCTATCTGATCCCCTCAAATTCCAAAGCCACACAATTCCCAGGCTCACTTGTGGGGGTAGGGGACAGACAGAGGAAGGCAGGGGGATTTGTGTTGGTTGGCTCACTTAAGGCAATGTGTTTCAGTTAGAACCCATACTGAAAACAGGAGTCCTTAAGAAAAATTGGGAAAAACCACCCTGATTTACATTGCACTAGGCCTCCTGCTGGAGCCCTGGTGGCACAGTGATTAAGAACTTGGCTGTTAACCAAAAGGTTGGCAGTTCAAATCCACCAGCTGGTCCTTGGAGACCCTATGGGGCAGTTCTACTCTGTCCTATAGGATCACTATGAGTTGGAACCCACTCGGTGGCAATGAGTTTGGTTTTTGGTTTAGGCCTCCTGCTGGAACTCTGGTGGCACAGTGGTTAAGAGTTCGGCTGCTAACCAAAAGGTTGGCAATTGAAATCCACCAGCCACTCCTTGGAAACCCTATGGGACAGTTCTACTCTGTCCTATAGGGTCTACAGGCAACAGGTTTCGTTTTGTTTTGTTTTAGGTCCACTGCTAATTTGATTGCAGCAATCAAGTTCCCTCCCAGCCTCAGGAAAGTGGCAGGGCTCCCATGGTTCAGGACACCAGAGTTCTTTTCTAAACAGCTTTATTAACCATATGAGAAGTCAGCTTGAATACAGCCCCTGCCCACAGCCTTTCAATCAGCAGCTCCATACAGTGTGGACAACATACTGGATGGACAACCAGTCACTGGGAGCAGCAAGCCCAGCCCCTCCCCCTCCACCTGCTGCTCCTGCACTGGGGCCTGGCAGGGATGGGGGGATGTGGCCAGAGAAGGGTCCCTGGAGACAGGCGGAGTGGAAGGGGCAAGGCCCTTGGTTGGCAGGAAGGCCCTGAGGCTGGGTGCCAAGGGAAGGGGTGTTCAAATGAAGATGAGGGCTGCCTCCCTCCCCGTGTGAGTGTCAAGCAGGCATGGTAAGAACGGCCTGGGCTATGCTGGGATGGAGTGGCGCTGCCAACCTCCGAGCTAGGGTCAGATCTATCTACCCTAAGGTTTGGGCCACTGGTAAAGATGAATGTGTGTCACAGGTGTTTCATTAGGGACCCCCTTCAAACAGGAAACCAGATGCCTAGGGGAGTCAGATGACATCCTGACGTTCGGGACCTCAAACCTAGGTTGTCTCCTCCAACTCCAAAGAAGGTGACACTAGTTCCACACAGACTCAAAGTCAAGGTGCCTAGAGAAGCAGGCAGCTCCTGTGGTCCCTGAGCCTATCTGTACCCTCTCTCCCTCCCTAGTGACTCCCCAAGCTGGGACTCCCAGGCCTGTCCTAAGGGACACGAAGAAGCCCACTCTCTTTCCCACAGAGGAGGATCTCAGGAATTCAATCAACCATACTCTTCCCCTGCCCCATCTTGGTCCTGCTTTCCTCCCCTTCTGGGTCTGTTGCTGCTGCTCCTCTGGGCTCCAACATGGGGGTCAGGTGTCTCGGCCAGTTGATGATCGGTACTCAGCCTAGGAGGCTAAGAACAGAGGTCTGTGGGGCAGGGCACAGGGAGAAGGCCCCGTCCCACCACCTCCTGCTGGTGATGTCATCAAATCCCCAGCAGGGGGAGCCCCTTGGTGGTGCTGGGGCCTCAGGCAGACACCCAAACCAAAGGGAGCCAGAGGCCCAAGTTCAAGTCATTGGTGATGTGTGGCAGGGCTGAGAAGGGAGAAGGAATCCTAGAAGTCTCCAGAGCTGCTGGGGAAGGGATGGCAATGCAAAGCACTGAGTGGGCAGGGGACAGCAGGCAGTGGCGGCATCACTCAGAGTGGACCAAGGCCCCAGCTCCTTGACCGAAGCCAAAGCCCTTGGGCCCGAAGTTTTTAGCATAACAACCTGTAGAGAGAGGAGACGGTAAGGACATGCTGCTGCTCCCCCAGCCACACCTCCCCCTCCCACTGAAGATATCCCACTCCTAGTGCCTGGCCAGGCCTCTGGAGGAGAGTCCCCCAGTGCCCCTCGCCCTCTCCAGCACCCCCAATCCTAATCAATACTTCATTCATTTCCTCTGCACTGAAATTATAAGAGAAGCATCATCTGCTACCAGAGCCTGTTCTGGGAGTGAGGAATCCCTGCCTTGATTTGCCACATGACCCTGGCCAAGTCACATTCTCCCTCAGTCTCTTCATCTGTGAAATGAAAGGGTCACACTAGATGCTCTGGAATTGATTCCAAATGTAATTAGTTTACATTTAGCAAGGGTGTGCCTACTTAGCTCCCCCATTCCCTCAGTCCCCCTGGTCCCCCCGACTAGAAGTGAAACCACTCACCTTTGCAGTAAATCTCACCATCCTTGTCCGCCAGGGTGGTTGACTCAAGGCCTTTGCCACACTTGGCACAACGGAAGCAGGACTTATGCCAGGACTGGGCAGGGAAGGAAAGAGTTAATGCTGACTCCAGTGACTAGGGTCCCCCTTCCCCCTGCCCCATTCCTCTTGAAATAACCATGGTGGAGAAGCTAAAGACACTTCTGAAGTCCGCTCAGCTGCTGCTGCTCTGAAGACATGGCACGTGGTGCCAGGCAGTGGAGGAGCAGGCCAGAGGCCACACACCACTTCACACCATCTTCAAGGAAGTGTTGTAAAGGCTCCACGGTTGGTGGTACCAGCTGTACCGCAAACGGCTGGTGAGGTGGTGGGATAACCGCCAAGGTAGCTGTTCCCCTATAGGCAGGGCCAACCCAGCCTTCTCCAGATCCCACCCTGGCTGTGGATTCCTAGTGCAAGCAAGGGCTTCAGAACTGTCCTGGCACTACCGCTTATTAGCTGCAAAACCTTAGGCAAGTTTCTTGGCCTCCACAATTTCCTCATTTGAGTAACCTATCTGCCTACTTGCAAAATCAATGTGAGGACTAGGTATATAAACCTAAGATGTCTGGCCACACAGTGGCCTTTTGTTGTTAGGATTCTCCTAGATCTGCCTGCTCTCTGAAGTTACAGAACTGGGTGCCATGTTTGCCCAAAGGCCATCACCTCTGGGAGAAGGGGGGTGGCAGTATGTCCCTCACTAGGTGGTTGTAAAGATTAAATGACTTCACCCTCGTAAAGTGCCGGCTGCCAGGCCTGGCAGAGGGGCAGCCCTGAGTCAATGCTGTCTATTATTACTTTGAAGGAGATTAGGTCTATGAAGTGCATGGAACTCAGCAGAAAAAGGTTGAGGAGTGTAGTTTCTCCAGGGGCCCCAGAAGACCCTACCGAGTTCTAAAAGAAGCCCCAAGGCAAGATAGGGTCTTAACAAAACAGGCTCCCAGGGAAAAGCCAGGCCCAGGTTTGTAAACTGCGATGAGATCCCGCACAGCCAGTAAGACTTCTCAGCAGCCAGCTCCCATCAGCAACAGCTGAGCAGCTGATAATGTAGACAGCTCTGCTGAATCCAAAAGAAGCAAGATGCAGGTGGCAGGGAGGCAGGAGAAAACAAGGCCTTTTAAGGGCAAAGAGGCTCCCTCCTCACAGCCACCTGGTGCCCAGGTTGGAGGGCGAGAGGGGAAACTGGGTCCTCAGATTTCCTGGCCAACTGACCGTCGCACATTTGCTCCTCCTCGTGAGCCTGAGGGGCAGCGGGATCCAGGGAGCTGAGAGTGGGGGACCTGGGTGTCAGCCCTCCTCTCTGCGCACAGTGCAGCTCAGCAGGCACCCTGTCGTTGTTTCTCCTCTGGAAAGCAGGGGCCGCTTCACCAACTTACCCACCGGACTGGAGAAGGGCCAAATCACATCCAGAACACCACCCACCCGTCATATTTCCCACCTACCCCTCAAAATAAGCTCCATCCCTTCGTTCACTCATGCAGCACCTAAAGTACTCCCAGCTCCTTGCTATTTCTTTCTTGCCCCAGGCAAAAGAGAGGCGGGGCCTCCCCCAACCTTTTTTGCTTGAACGCAAAACTCACTTGGCTCCACTCCTGAGTAGTACTGCCTTAACTTTAACTTATATCCTGTCTGGGTAATGGAAACACTGATGCTTAGATATAGTTTATAATTTTCTATTCTTATCATGAAACATAGCAGAAAAAAACACCAATTTAATATTAATAATATCTCCTGTTTTCTTGACCCAGGGTGGTACAAACAGTTAACTTGCTCAGCTGCTAGCTGAAGTGTTGGAGGTTCGAGTCCACCCAGAGGCACCTCGGAAGAAAGGCCTGGTGATCTACTTTGGAAAAATCAGCCACTGAAAACGCTATGGTCCCAGGGGACATCTAGGTCAACTGGCATATCATAATCCATATAGACAATGTTCTACATCCTACCTTGGAAAGTAGCAACCGGGTCTTAAAAGCTTGAGAGTGGTCATCTAAGATACAACTACTGGTCTCTTCCAGGGTGGAGCAAAGAAGAGTGAAGAAAACCAAAGACTCAAGGAAACAATTAGTCCAAAGGACAAATGGACCACATGAACCACGGCCTCCGCTAGCCTGAGACCAGAAGAACTGGATGGTGCCCAGCTACCACTACCGGCCACTCTGACCGGGACCACAATAGTAGGTCATGGACAGAGTGGTAGAAAAACATAGAAAAAAACCCAAACTCATAAACAAGATCAGACTTACTGATCTGATAGATCCCCGAGACTATGGCCCTAAATACCCTCCAGACTTGGAACTGAAATCACTCCCAGAGATCACATTATAGCCATAAAATAGACAGGCCTATAAAACGGACAATAACACCAGTGAGGAATGTACACCTCAGAACTATGAACTATACAAGAACTAAAGGGCAGCATTTGCCCAAAAGCAAAATTCAGAAGAGAGGTAGGGGCAAGAAAGCTGGGTGAATGGACACGGGGAACCCCGGGAGGAAGGGGGGAGAGTGCTGACACATTCAGGGGTTTGTAACCAATGTCACAGAACAAGCTGTGTATAAACTCTTGAATGGGAAACTAATTTGTTATGTAAACTTTCACCTAAACAACAATAAAATGTTCAGAAGAGAAGAAAACCCTGTGGAGCACAGTTCTAGTCCGACACACATGGGGGTACATGAGTCTAAATCAACCTGACAGCTACTGGTCAACTGGTTACCTTTTTTCGTATCATTTAATCATTGGCAAGAATCTTCTGTATAACTCATTTTAACCTCACAACAATCCCAAAAAGTAGTGCACATACCAGGCACTGCACTGAGCATGATGGGTACATCAGCTCCTTTAATCTTTACAGCAACCTGGTGTGCCAGGGACATCACTGGCTCCGCCTTACAGATGCAGAAGCGAGGCTCAGAAAGGTTAAACAATTTGTTCAAGGTCACACAACTTGTAAATTGCAAAACTAGGATTTAAACCACATTCTCTAGAGTCCAGGCTCTTCATCACCATGCTAGGATTAATGATCTCTTCCCATTTTGCAGCTGTGGAAATGGGTTCAAAGAGGTTAAGTGAGCCAAAGTAGAGTAAACAGTAGTAAAAGCAAGGGCTTTGGAGTCAGACAAACCTGGGCTCGACTCCTAGCTTAGCCCCTTCCTAACTAGATAATCTGGGCAAATTATTGAATCTTTCCAATTCTCAGTCTCTTCATTTGTAAAATGGGGATAATAATACCCATCTGTGATGGTTGAACTGAGAACCTGATATGGCCTAGACTGCATAAGTCTTAGTCCCCTGCCCCATTCCTCTAGACCTCCTTCCTCAAGGTTGAAAAGCCTTGGAAGCCAAGACCCAAATCCGGAAGAGCTAAAGACCGGCTCTCAGCCCAGCTGTTCTACAAACATGCTGTGTGATCTTGGCTAGGTCAGGCCTCTGTCCCGGGCCTCATGTGGATGATCCAGAAATCCTCTCTGGCCATGTATCTTGAAGATCCCTCTTCTGTGACTTCTGGCTTTTTCTCTGATAGGCCTTGAACTTTTAAAATCTCTGCCCTGGGGGTACACAGTTTCAGGGGGTCTGCATCTCATGAAAGGAGCCCTGGGGGCACAGCGATTATGCGCTCCACGGCTAACCGAAAGGTCGGTGGTTGGAACTCACCACCCACTCCAAGGGAGAAAGATGTGGCAGTCTGCTTTCATAAAGTTTACAGCCTTGGAAACCCTATGGGGCAGTTTTACTCTGTCCTACAGGGTCACTATGAATTGGAATCGACTCAACAACAACAGGCGGGTGGGTGGTGTGTGTCCCATGAAACAGAATGTATGTGGATTTTCGAGAGGTTCTTAACATTTTTGAGATCACAGATCCTTTGGAAAATCTGATGAAAGCTACGGATGCTCCTCCCAGATACAGACATGTTCCCACAAAACCCTGCATACAATTCAGGGGGTTCATGGACCGCTGTGGTCCCCAACTCTAGAGATACAGATCAATCTTTGCAACTCTCCTACGAATTGTCCCTGTTGTTGTGTGCTGTCAAGTTGATTCTGACTCATAGTGACCCTATATGACAGAGTAGAACTGCCCCCATGGGGTTTCCAAGGCTGTAAATCTTTTTTGTTTTTTGTTAAATAATATTTATTGTTTTCAGTGAAAATTTACATAGCAAACTAGATTCTCATTTAACAATTTCTATACATACTGTTCAGTGACATTGATTACATTTTCCACAAAGTGTCAACCTTCTCCTTATTTCCGTTCTGGTTGTTCCATTTCCAGTGCCCTGGTTTCCCTGACCCATTACCTTCTCATCTTTGCTTTAGAGTAATTGTTGACCATTTGGTCTCATATAGATAATTTTTTAAAGGAGTGTAGTGATCATGGGTGATATTCTTTATGAGCCAATCTGTTATTTAGCTAAAAGGTGAACTCGGGATAGTTTGATTCAAGGTTTTAAGTGTATCTCAGGACAATAGCCTCGGGGAGTCCTCTAGCCTCAACCTGTCCAGTAAGTCTGGATTTTTTAAGAATTTGAGTTCTGTTCCACATTTTTCTCCCATTCTCTCAGGATCCATCTACTGTGGCCCTGAACAGAAGGGCTGGTAGTGGTAGCCAGGCACCATGTAGTTCTTCTAGGCTATAAATCTTTACAGGAACAGATCACCAGGTCTTTTCTCCCACAGAGCCACTAATGGGTTTGAACCACTGACCTTTCAGCCAAGTGCTTAACCATTGTGCTACCAAGGCTCCTTCCCTATGAATTGCCCATAGGCAGTTAGCAATCAGTCCCATAGATAATGGTGATGTCACTGTACAGGAGTGATTTGAGCTCCTTGGAGACTGGCAGGCACAGGGACAAAAGGTTACTCCAGAGCCTTAGAAGGAAGGGGGTTAAAGCCCACTCAACAGAGCTAAGGTTAGGACTTGTAAGGTTCTGGAACTCACATCTCAGGAAAGTCTTTCCCCAGCCCATCTCCCGTCTCTCTCCCCATCATGCCCAGTGGCTGCCTTACCTTCCCAGCACCAATCACCTTCTCGGCAGCATAGACAGCCTGGTTGCACCGGGGGCAGCGCTCAGAGCCACCAATTTTCTGGGCAAACTTGGATGTATTGGGGTTACTGGTGGGCCTGTGGCCAGCGGCCCTGCACGGGGAAGGACATGGAGTGAGATGACTTCTGATAAGAAATATGCACAGGGCTGGCACTGCAAGGGTCACAAAGGCTAGGACCACAAGGGACTCAAAGATCACCTCCCATTTTGCAGATGGACAAACCAAGGCTCAGAACAAATTTTTTTTCATTGACGCATCATGCTTCCCTCAGTCATCCAGTTAAAACCCTCTGAATTATTTTTAACACCTCATTTGCTAAGAATCACCTTCTGTTGTCCCCCATTTCTGCAACAATTCCATTATCAGGTTCTTTCTAAGAGAAATCTGCTGATCAATCATTCCCACTGGGGCAACGACCTTCGCTGAAAAGTTGCTAACTCATCTGTCATTTCCGTCCATCCCCCCTGGGCTGAGGAACCAGCCAGGATGACTGCCAACAGCCACTATTTACCAGAAGGGCAGAGGTCAGTGGGTGCCGGAGAGACCCAGTGACACCCTGTGGCATTTCCAAGGAAGGAGAATGACTTCCCTCAGCAGGGGTGAGAGGTGACAGTGCTGAGTGAGGCTGGTGTGGCAATGGCCCTGTGCTGAGCCCTGGTCCTGGCTCAGATACTCACTGGCTGTGGGTTTGGGTTCTCTCATCCATAAAAAGTGGACACTGGACTAAATAATTCTTGGGGCCCCTCCCAGCTCTGATCCTTATAAAAATATAGCGTGCAAGATCCATGAGGGGAGAAGCCTGGCCGATTCTATTCCCCACTGTGCCCCAGCTCCTCCAGCAGGCCTGGCATAGTGGGTGCTCCATACTACCTTTTAAAAAAATGGCTTTCTGAGCTGCCCACTGCTTAACCAAAAGTGACTGGAAATGTGCCCAACACTGGGGGAAAGCATGCTAAAGAATAGGGGTGGGAGAGAATCCTTTACTCACTCCTCTTGCTTGATGCCCAGCGACTCCCCCTTGTCCATGCTCAGTGTGCCTGCGCCCTGCCCAAAGCCATAGCCTTTTGGCCCGTATTTCTTGCCATAGCAGGACTTGCAGTAGATCTCCTCACCGTGCACAGCCACAGTGGTGCTATCCAGATTCTTCCTGCAGACCACTGTGAAGGGGAAGGGAGGTATAGTGAGCTGAGGCTGGGGTGAGCTGCTAGCTCACTGCAAGTCCCCTACACCTGAAGCTCTCCGGCAGTTTGCATACATCACATCATGATCTTTCAGGGGCAGCTGGAAACGGAGGCCTGGATGGCCAATGAGCTAGAGGAGATGGGATCTGCAAATCCTGACTGACTCTAGGAGCACTGGCCATGCCATGTTTCCCAGGAGTCTGTGCATGTCTCCCCAGTCCTCTGCACCCTCCTATCTCCCCAACAGTGCAGTGCCCCCCAAAGTTCAGAGGAGGCAACAGCCTAGGCCAAAGGAAGCTGGCTGAGATCCTTCACTCTGCCTTTGACAAACAGACTAGGCCTCCTAACAGGAGAGGAGAAAAAAGAAAGGAAGGCAGAAGAAGGCAGGGTTTTCCTGTCTCCAACAACAGAACCCAGAAGGGACAATCTGTGCGTGCTGGGAGTGGGGGTGGGGGGAGAAAGTGAAGAGATGCACCCAGAAGAACATCATTTCATATAGATATTAAGCACCCAGCATGGTGGGCTTTGAAATGAGGTGCAGGTCATGCTAACCACAACAACAGGACGTAGAGTTTCTATTCTCAAAAATCACTTTGCCACAGGAAGAATTCCCTGACCTCCAGGGTAAGAGATATTGGAATGGGATAAGCCAGAAAGCCCATGGGCCTCATATGTATTCCTGTTCATCTCAGAGGGAAGCTGTGTCCAGCTATCCAAAGTAAAACAGCTCAGAGCCTGGGTTTATAGACCAAAAACCAAACCCGTTGCCACTGAGTCAATTCCTACTCCTAACAACACCATAGGACAGAGCAGAACTGCCCTATAGCTGGTGGATTCAAACTGCCTTCCTTTTGCTTAGGAGCCAAGCTCTTAACCACTGTGCAACCAGGGCTCCTGGAGTCATATAGAGGCAGACTGCCCAGAATCAAACTCCAACTCTCCCTTTCTAGCTGTGTGGCCTTGGGCAAGCTACTTTGCCTTTCAGCCTCAGTGTCCTCATTTGTAAATGCAGATAATAATGCCTACCCCAAAAGGTGGTCCTGAGAATTAAATGAGATCTTACAAGAGATGGGGGGTGGGACAGGGTGTGGGGGCTGGACTGGCCCAGGCCTCAAGAGATCATACGCTTCTAACCCCCAACTACTTCTCTCAAGAGACTCAACTTCATTCTATTTCTTTAGGTCTCATCCTGTCATCCTGATTTGGTTCTATGATACTCTTTAAATATTGGGATTCAGTGTGTCCAACTGGACTGTATCCTCAAACGTGTCTTTCTAAAGATGGAAACCTAGGGACACCGAGGGAGGCACCATGCCTCCTGCTTCCCTTTGAGAAGGCTCTCAGCTTGGCTCCTTGCAGCTTGCCATCCTCTTGCCTTTAAAGGGTCCAGTTCTCTGCCAGCTCCTCTCCTTGCCCTGAGACCCAGGTTGGAGACTTCAGACCAAATAAGGACCCTCTTGTCCTGCCCTCGAAATCCCGACCTCATTCCAGCACTCTGGGCAGCCCAAATACGGAACTTCCCACCTCCTCCCTTGGGACTTGGCTCTCGGGAAGGAGGGAGAGGGAACAGCAGGCCAAGGGAACAACATTCCCTTCTAGGGTGGGAAGTCAGGAGTTGGCCTGGAATTGCTTCCCATAAGACCCAAATGAAGCTGGAAATTCTGAGGCCAAAGGGAAGGCAGACAGCAGAGACAGAGAGGCTGGGGGAAGAGGTCCAGCTTGACTGGTCTCTCCAGCAAGGGACCTAGGAGCTAAGCCCAGAGGAGACATCAGAGCCTACAAGTTGACATGCACCTGATGGCAGGTTGATGGCTCCCCTGTCAGGCCATCTAAGCCATGACTTTCAGATAAAATGCTTCAGATAAGACCTCCTTGCTTGTTTCTGCTCTGCCTTGGTTCTCCCAGAGCCCAGTCCTGCCCACCTTCAATTCCCCCTACCCTGGCCCCTCCAGGCAATGTGTTGGGGACTCTCAGCTTACTCCTGGGCTCCATCAAAGTCTCAAGCAAAGGGAATTTTGAATAAAGGCATGAATGAGTTTCTACCAAATCATGTTAAGCCAAAAAAAAAAAAAAGCCTGGGTTGTATGCATGTGTTGGACAAACCCTCTTCTAGATGCCGCCTGGCTCCGTGGGGTCTTGTGATGCTATTTGGAAATTTGGAAACTCAGAGGAAACGTAGACCCAGGTGAAAGGTCAGAACCCCCCAGCCCCCACCCCAGGATAGAAAGTAATTGTCTCTGCTTCTGGAAGGCCCACAGAAAAGTCCAAGATCAGAAGCTAGGCCAGGCCAGACCCCAGCCCCTGACTTCTAGACCTGGTTGTTTCCTGCCAGCCTGTGGCTCCTTTCAAGTAGGCCAAGCATGCAGGACGAGGAGGGTGAAAACTGATGGTAAACCTCAGCCTGGGTGAAGAGACCCGGGTGTCAGAGGGTGAGCATGGCTTCTGTGAGCTTCACTTGAGCTCTTAGATTCTGCTAACTGCCAAGGACCAACCTGCTGGGTCCAGTTCCACCAGCATCCACCACAGGGTGAGGACAGACAGACCAGCTCTGCATTTCCAGGGCTGGCTGCTCAACCCCTCCAGGCTCCAGGAGAGAGCTGGTGTCAGCTCAGAGACGGGCACACGGCCTGGGGGCAGGCCTCCCGCACAGAGCTGAACTCTCCCAACAGCCTCTGAGCCACACCTGCTAATGGGCACTGGCTGCTCCTACTAAGACCACAGTGTGTGGCAGGCCCTCTCAATCCCTGCTCCCAGATCAAAGGTGAGGCCCAGAGGGAGGACATCATCCCATCCTCCTCATGCCCTCCCAGGTCCACAGGAAAGGTGCCAAGCTGAGTAGAATCCAGAGACAAGGACCCAAATGGTCAGAGGAACTTCTTTTGGGGGGTCACCTGGGCCCACTCAGCAAGGGGTTGACCTTACCCTCACCCAGGCCCAGCCGCTGCTAGCTTCTGCCTTCCTTAGGAGGGAAAGTCCTTGGATTCTATGGGTTATCCTGAATTTAGGCTAGATACTTATCACCCACTTATTAATCCCCAAAGAGAAGTAACCCTCCTTCCGTTCACAAACAAATCTTTGTCAAGAACCTACTGTGTACTAGGTGCTTTTCTAGGCAGTAGGAATAGCAAGTTGTGGAGATGCCTCGGGCCACTGGGACATGTGTGGTGCTAAGCGGTTCGGTTATAGCTCTGATGTCCAGGAACAGGGCTGGCCCTGAGACCCTGGAGAGACAGGAGACCGTTCCCTATGGTTGTTTGTTACACAACATCTCTTCCCAGCCTTGCTCCCCAGCGTGACTGACTTCCCACAAGTGTTTCTAATCCTCAACACCCCCTCATGCCCTGCCCCAGGCCCTGCTCCTTCCTTCCGACGCCACCCCCTGAATTCCTGACTCCCCTCAACTGCCTGACCAACCACTCACTACTCCTCCACACGCAGGGCTACAGACGAGAGGCCTCCTCAGCCACAGCTGGCCCCTTTTAGTCAGTAATTAAGCAACATTCTTTAAGAGCAAAGAAAAGGGTCCCTAGGTCCCCAGCAGCCTGGGCCCTCTTCCTCAGCCAGGCCAGAGCCAAGCTCTCTTATTACCTCTGAAAAAGTAAATGGCTAGAAAATTCTTAAGTGGAGTGAACAGCTGATAACAAGATGCTGCTGTTCCCAGCCTCCTCTGCAGGCTCGAGGTCAATGAAGCTCCACCAGCTCATTTATACCCCATTCATCAGAGGCAGCCCTCAGGGCTGTCACTCCAGGTAGGGCCATGGCAGGGCATGGGGGCTCTGCTGGCTTTGGGCTGATCCGACCAGCAGCAGGTAGAGACACGTGGACATCCGTGATCAGATGGGTGCTGGCCCACCTGGATCCTACTGTGGAGCGCAATCACCTGGAACAAAGGAACCATGGACACTCCCGACTTTGCTACATGTGATACCGATAGACAAGATCACTTTCTGGATCTCTCAGACGGGCTGGAACTTCAGCCCCTGTGACATCTCCTTTGCATCACACCATCTTGTTTGTGGATCCTTCAGCACTGTGTGTGTGTGTGTTTGGGGGTGGGGATGTCTACCATTTATTGAACACTCACAATGCTCTAAGTGCTTCATTTGTTTTACAAGCTCATTTCATTTTAATTCTCACAACAACCCCATGAGGTAGGTATCCTCTCCACTGCAATAATGAGAAAACTCAACCAGAGAAAGATTGAATAACTTACCCATATTACTTGGATAATGAAACGCTGATCTGGCTGGCTCCACAACCTGGTGCTTAACTAAGGCGTCCTACTGCCGCCCACTCTTTGCCTGCCGTCAAGGAAATGCATCTTGCTGAAGTAGCCTCTTCTTCTAACACAGACCTTCTGCTATGATCACAATCAACTAAATCATTTAGGAATCTGGGGAAAGGCTATGAAAGCATCACCTCCCCACTGAGCCAGGATCAGTGCAGCATCATGAGGTTGGGATCCCTAGTCAACCTGACTGCTCTCAGCTGCTTGATGTCTTTTGTTGGTTCCCTACTTATCCAGGCTTATGCTTGGAGCAAATCTTTTCTCCTTTTTTCAGTAACAAAAAATTTGCCATTTTAGTCATTCTTTAGTGTACAATTCAGCGACATTAATTACATTCACCATGTTGTATAACCATCACCACTATTTCCAGAAGTTTTTCATCCCCTTTAACAGAAACTCAGTGTCCCTTAAGTAACAACCACCCGTCCCCCCGCCAAGCCCCTGGTAACTAACCACTAGTCTACTTTCTGTCTTTACGCAGTTGCCTATTCTAGATGTTTCATATAAGTGGGCTCATGCAATATTTGTCCTTTTGTGTCTGGCTTCTTTCATGCTGCATAATTTTTCAAGGTTTATCCATGTTGTAACCTGTATCAGAAAGTCATTTCTCTTTTGGCTGACGACTTGTGCACATCTTGCCCTGGGTCACTGGGTGTCATGTCAACACACTTCGTGCTCCTTCCTGTCTCTCCACCCAAGCTGAGCAGGAATGGGAACTGAGCAGCCGGATGACTGGAAGGGGCTGAAGCGGGCTGACTAGAAGGGGCTGAAATGGGAAGAACGTAGATCTCGCTCCAAGCTCAGCTTTACCAGAGGGTTGTGGCCTTTGTTGCTTTTTAACAAGGGATAATTTGGGTCCAAAGGTCGGTGAAACTTTGGGCTAAAAGTGACTTCCTCTTAAATGATGGGATTGTGGCAAAGAGAGAAAGAAGAGTGAGCTGAGTGGAAAGTTTTCCTAACCAAGTCCTCACAGCTTGGCTCTCAGCCCCTCAACGCCCGCCACCCCCACTGGCCCTGGCCAGTCCTTCCCCTTAGAGAGCAAGAAACAAGCTTCTGAAAGGAACAAAGAGGCTCTTAAGTGTTTCCCTCCCAGCTGCGCTTCAGCCAAATGTTAAGTTGTTTACATCCCACGGGATCAGTTCCCTGGAGTGCTGACAGGCCCAGTCTTTGGGGGCGGGCCCAGGTCCCCATCCCCATGGCAACAGCAGGGCCTGGGGCATGATACTCACTGCACAGGAAGCAGGATTTATGGAAGCTACTGCCTTCGCACTGAACCTCTTCGGCAAAGTAAACCGTCTTCAGGCACACTCCACATTTCTTGCCTCCTCCCCAGTTCGGCATTCTGCAAAAACAATACAAAAATGGCAATTAATTTTAGAGGGAAATGGAAACACAGACTTCCCATGAGGGAAATACAACAGGCAGAGACTGAGAAGAAAGATGGAGGCAGGACTCCTATGGGGCAGCCAGCCCAAGTCCAGCACTTCTTCCTGCTTGCTCTCAACCATGTCCTCAGACCTGCTACTTGGGGGTTTCTTCCTCCAATCTAATCAACAGGTATTTACTGAGCAACTACTATATTTTCAGCTCTGTGCTAGGCACTTTTTTGTTGAGTTCTTGGTAAAAGTTTGCATAGCAAAGTAGGTTCCCGTTTAACAATTTCTACACGTATTGTTCAGTGACTTTGGTTACATTTACCACATTGCATCAGCATTCTCAGTATTTCCATTCTGGTTGTTCCATTTTCTTTATTCTTGCTTCCCCGCCCCTCCCCCAACCCCAAACTTCTTTGTTTTAGGGTAAATGTGCTAGGCACTCTTGTTGATATTCGCTGCCATTGAGTCAATTCCAACTCATGGTGACCCCCTTTCCGAAGCAGATTGCCAGGCTTGTTTTCTGAGGCACCTGGGAGTGGATTCAAACTGCTAACCTTTTGGCTAGTAGTCTAGCGCTTAACAGTTTGCACCACCTAGGGACTCCTTGCTAGGTACTCTAAAGGACGTAAATAAGCGTAAGACACAGACCCTAAAAAGGAGGCTGCAGTCTCAGTGAAAATGAACCATCTATAACTATGGACATGCTTCAGCATGAACGAAGCTCATCAAGATAATGTGGAGCAAAAGAAGCAGATAAACCAGAGTCCATAGAACACAAATCCATTTGTGTAAAGTTTACAAACCGGCGAAACAAATTCATACCGTCTAAGCATGAACGCATGGGTGGAAAAGTTAAACAGAAAAGCAAGGGAGTGATTATTACAAACTATTATCTTAGAGGTAGTTGTCTCTAAGAGAAGAAAGGGACGGTGATTGGGTGGGGACCGCCAGGGGGCTGCCAAGGCACTGACAATGTGGCCGTCACATGGGGGTTCACTTTAGAATTATTCTTTGAACTATACACATAGGTTTTACACACTCTTTTGTGTGCAAGAAATATCTCACCAAAAAAAGGTTTAAAAAATAGTGCAGGAGACAGGCATCCAGCGCACAGTTCTTGAGCTTTAGAATGCATTAGAATCAGACAGGGGTTTTTGCAGAATCAGGTTTACCAGTGCCTCCCCAGATCTGACGAATCAAAACCTCCGAAGATAAGGTACAGGAAACTGCATTTTTATTAAGCCCCACAGGTGAGTGCAAAGCAGGTGGCCTGGGACCCACTTTGAGATGTTCCAGGAACTGGTTAAGAACCGGAGTCCTGATGGCAGACAGGTGTGGTCCCATCCTGATTCCACCTTGGGCAAGGTAGTCAGTCTTTCTAAACCTTGATTTTCCTGTCTGTAAAATGGGATGAAAACAGAAGCTACTTCATTTGTGGAGATGTGGCACATCAAAGGCACAGCACAGCACGTGGTATAAAGTAAGTCTCCGATAATCAGTAGTTAGTATTATGAACACAGAAGTCCACAGGCCAGTGCCTGGTTAAGCAAAGAGCAGCACAGAAAGCAAACGCTATAGGAACTTGGAGAAAGAAAAAGTCCTCAAGCTGATGGGATCTGCTTCTCTCCTTCCAATTCACTCACTCAACAGACATGACTGAAGGAGGAAGATGACCCTCCAGCTCTTTCGACAGAAGTTCACGTGTAGGACAGGGATGGGGTTTTAGACAAGGCACTGTGGATACCGACAGGTACTGGGGTAACCCAGGACACGGTGGGTAAAGGAGGACCCAGCGTGCTAGGGAATGAAGGGGGTGGGTATGGCAGCAGGTTTCGGGGGGAAAAAAATCCTGATCTGAGACAGCTTCCTGGAAGCAAGCCCCTCTCTCCACCTGAGTGAGCAGAGGAGCAACTGGCTCTGGGGGTTGTTGTCAGAGGGGAGACAGGCAGTCTGAGAAGAGCTGAGAGACAAAAAGAAACTGAGTCTGTGACGACATCATTAAGCTACAGAGTTAAGCCAAACTTGAAGTTCAACCTATCACTGAACTCTCCAGTTAAAAAAACCAGTTGCCATCTAGTCAACGCTGACTCAAGACGACCCCATGTGTGTCAGAGTAGAACGGTGCTACATAGGGTTTTCAATGGCTGATTTTTCGGAAGTAGATTGCCAAGCCTTTCTTCTGAGGCACCTGAGTGCACTGGAACCTCCAACCTTTCAGTTAGCAACCATCGATGACTCCCCTCTGCCTTGCTATTGTTAGCTGCCGTGGAGTCTGTTTCGACTCATGGAGACCCACGTTTGCAGAGTAGAACTGCTGCATAGGGTTTTCAAGGCTGTGACCTTTCAGAAGCAGATGGCCAGGCCTGTCTTCCGGGGCACCTCTGGATGGGTTCAAGCCACCAACCTTTATGCTAGTTGTCTAGCACTTAACCATTTGCGCCACCCAGGGACCCCACCCCTCTGCCTAAGAATAACCAAACTCCTCTCCACAGCACAGTCTCCACCCATCACACGCTATCCCATTTGGAGTTGGTGATTTAATCGCTGTGCTCAGCCCTCAGAGTGCCCAGTCCAGGGCACATCACTGACCCACTGCAGGTGGGATTTCTCTAGCTGCACACGACCTCTCTACCTTCCTCAGATAACTCATGGGGCCTGAGCTCCCAGATCTTTGGGTCAGTCCCCATTCCCAGCCTCGTATGCATCAACTCTTCCTTCAGCCCCTTTCTGTGCTGAGGCCTCCAGGGGCCATCTGCTCTCATTGAGCAAGGGCTGGGCACTGCAAAGCCATATAATGTGATGGACGATTTGATAGGAATAGCAGCATGTGGCAGGCATTACCGGCTGCCAAACCATCACCCATTTCCCCCTTCTTTCTTACAGTTGGTATTAGGTGGCGTCAAGTTGGCTTCAACTCATAGCAACCTTATTATGTATAACAGAACACAAAGTTGCCTGATCCTGTGGCATACTCACAGTAGTAGGTATGTCTGAGCCCACTTTTGACGTGTTTATCAGGAGGGACTGGTCCCTGAAGAAGGATATCATGCTTGACAAAGTAGAGGGTCAGCAAAAAAGAAGAAGACCCTCAACAAGATGGACTGACACAGTGGCTGCAACAATGGGCTCTTCCTTGCTACAGAACCTCAGTTACATTCAGGCAGTCACCCCTCCACCAAGTGACTCAGGGGAGACCCCCGTCCCCAGCTCCAGGTGCAGAGCCTAAGTCCCCTAAGCCAACCTCAGTGACTCATTTCCCCTGCCAGTGCCTGGTCCAGGAACAGGCCGTGACAATGAATGGGCCATCTCACTTCTGGCCAGTGAGATGTGAGGGAAGCTCCATGTGGGCAGCTTCTGGGAAAATGTGCTCGGTCATATGGGGCCACACAGGCTCTCTTCTCCCTCTGATGAGGTGACTAGACATGACCCCTGGGATTCGTGCAGCCAAGGCACCCTGAATGACAGATTGCCATTGATTGAATGTCTACTGTGCGCCAGATAGCTTACAGATGCTATTCCATTTCGTCTTCACCACCTGGAGATGGAGAATATACGCCCACTTTACAGACAAGGAAAACAAGTCTCAGAGAGGTTCGGAAACTTGCTTGCAGCCACACAGCTGGAAGAGGCAGAACTGGGATTTGAATGCAGGTCTGGCCATTTCCAAGTCCTGTCATCCCAATCACCATGCTGCCACCCTACAGTATTTAAGAGTACTACCCAGTGCCTGCTCACAGTGGGCATACGATACATCAGTGCTGGCTCTCCTTCTTCCAGTCCCCTGAACCAGCAGGGGACATATTCCATGCCCCACAGGAACATCTCCAAGGGTGGAAAGTTTCCCTGGTCACATGGTTGTGAGCCAGTTCCAAGCAGTGTTTTGTTCCCCAACACAAGAGCCCTTCTCCCTCTGGGGGAGACCCGAGCTCCACACAGGCCTCCCCTTGTTCTCCCTGGCCGCACATCAGGGTCCCACATCCAGCAGGGCCCCAGGGAATCAGGAACATGGGCGGGGAGATGGGTGAAACCCAAGGACCTGCCAGTGAGGAAAGTCTGCCCAGGATGTTTCTCAGCTGGGCCATTCCCGTGAGCTTGGCCATTTGGTTGGGGGTCTCCCCTCAGGAGCCCAGTGAAGAAGCAAGGGCTCTAGTGCCTAAAGATGAAAAATAATGACTATGTCCACTGCCAGGGAAGGTCCCAGGCAAGCTCTTTGGGTGGGCTCCTGTTCCCCTCTGTTCACACGAGGACCCTCCAGGGGACCCCGCCTGTAGGGAAGAGTCAGCAGGAGGGAGCCCTGGCCACTTCATTCTCTGCAACAGGCGAGGCTCGGCCTTCACTTTGCCCCTCCTTTCTGCCCAGCCCCTTGTTTTCAACAACCAAATCCTATCTCCAGGCTGAATTGCCTTAAAAGGAAACCTGTTTCTCTGCGTTTGTGCAGTGCCTAGGGGCAGGCCTGGCTCCACAGGAGGTTGTGGTGAGCTTCCCTAGGTCAGAGCTTAGGTCATGTTGTTTAGTGGTTAGGAAGGTGGGTGTTGGAGTCAGGCAGATCTGGGTTCCCCCCTAACAGAATGGTCTTGGGCAAGTTACTTTCCTCTCTGAGCTTCAATTTCCTTGTCTCTAAAATGGGACCAGGAGCCCTGGCGGTGCAGTGGTTAAGAGCTTGGCTGCTAACCAAAAGGTCAGCAGTTTGAATCCACCAGCCGCTCCTTGGAAACCCTATGGAGCAGTTCTACTCTGGCCTATAGGGTCACTATGAGTTGGATTCGACTCAACAGCAATGGTTTTTGTTTTTTTTTTAAATGGGACCATGTTGTTGTTAGGTGCCATCGAGTCGATTCTAACTCATAATGACAGAGCAGAGCTGCCCCATAGGACTTACTAGGCTGTAATCTTTACAGAAGCAGGTAGTCAGGTCTTTCTCCCACGGAGCCACTGCGTGGGTTAGAACCGCCAACCTTTTGGTTAG